TGTTTATAATACGGAAAAATGTTTAATTACTATCACATTTTTTCGCTACGCTTATTATTAGATTGTAGAGGAGATATTACAAAGGGCTCCTTTACAATATAGAGAGTTAAACAAAATAAAATATAATATAATTGAAATGGAAAATACAACTTCAGGACGGAAAATGTCCTTTACACTCTTAAATAAATAGGGCATGATTAAAAATTGGTGTTTATGAGGTGATAACAAAAAATATAGAAAAGAAATCCTTTCATATCAAAGACGCCAAGAAGGCCTAGATTTTTAAAAGAATTATATTTTTTTATCAACATAATTGTATTTAAAAGAATTATATTTATTTTTATCAAACATAGTTGTAATTTTTTGAAGGAAAACTGGAACACAATCTCAACGATGGCTTGCAAAATGTTTAAATTAATAAATTTCTTCATTGACAGGCTCTTAGAAGTGTTTTTTTTCACTTTTTCTTTTTTTGGGGGGCCGGGGGGCAGATTGAGACCTGCATGTTCTGGAAAGCCTGCTTGACGCATCGGCTCTCATTGAATTGATATAGTTTTCTTGTCAGGAAATTATTGTCCGTGAATTTGAACTTTTATTTAGCGTACTTGATCCGCTGAGTTGACTTCATGTAAGGTAATTTTCAGTTGAGGCTGCTCTTTAATGCACTTGTGTGGCAGAAAATAGCACCATTCAGGTGACTTGGGGGACGAAAGAAGAGCCACCACATAAAAGCGACAGCTCACTGCTCTCCAAGGACCTCAAGAGCTCACCACTAATAATCCGTGCATTCTCCTTTTTCATGTTTTTACTTCCAAAATTCCATAATTAGACAATTTTTTTTCCAAAAGGACTTCGAAGGTAGATTTGTAATAAATAAATACTCCTCCGGTCCTTAATATAAGACCCATTTAACTAATTTGATTAGATTAAAGAAATTAGGTAAGTTAGTTACTTATAAGAAATGTGACATATTTTTCCTAAAATACCATAATCATCTTTTTTAATACCCGAATACTCCTGGCCTAGTAGTGACTGGCTAGGTCACAAGTGAGACGAGTCTCTGCTCTTTGAGGGCGGGAGTTCGAATCCTCACTTGTTAAAAAGGGTATTGTATTGTTATTAATATAATCAAGGCACTACATTTAGGATCAAGTCCATCTTTTCAATTAGCTTGTCTATTAAGAACAAGAAAGAGTATTGTATTGTTATTAATATAATAACAAAGGAAAGGGGATGCTTATCATTAAAAAATAGCCGTGGGAATGATTAATCATCGTCAAGATAAAATTTATATTAAACTATAGCACCATTTATAATATAAATTAAATAATGAGCTTTATTTTCTAAATTTAACATAATGTGCGGAGAATTATTATTATTTTTATTTATACTCATTCATATTTTTGTTTTCTATAATGTTATATGGAATTGTAAAATATATATATATGTATATGACATCCAAACTCTACTGATGAGGGGAGAAAAAAATAAAAAGAAAATTTCATAAAATGAACATGAAAATTACTAGATCATAAATCAAGATTGTTTCTTCCATTTCAACAGGTTTTAATAACACTAGTAAATAATAACATGTTTTCGTAAGAATTTCTGATTTAAAGATTTTATAATTTCCTGTTTTTTTTTCAGTGGGATTTTCCGAAATATAAAAGAAAATAGTTCAATATTTGAAGTCATATGGAAGGAGTTAGCATTGGCTACTAGGCAGGTTTAGGATAGTGACGCGATCACTGAATTTTTTTATCAATAAAATGCGCTAATTAATTAATTAATTATGCTCTTTGGTTTTCCTGCTACACTCTTTCAATGAGTCGATTGTTACATTTAATGTTCCATTTAAAAACCCTCTAAATGTATTACATTTCAAAACCATATAGTCGGCCAGGACATCAAATTAGATGATTTTGTAGATCCTGCGTTGCACTGCTAATTATCATGATTAATTATTTAAGACGCTTTATATCTTTCGCTTTATTTACTGCGCAAAACACATCAGAGTGGCAACAATGTCGTCAATGGAGGATTACTTGTTAGCTAAACAATTTGATGTCTGGTTTGCATTTGGAGTCGATTTTTTTTGGGGTCATAATTCACCCACTTATCATATAACTTTCAAACAACAAAATACTACCTCCGGTCCTAATTATAAAGCTAGTTGACTAATTTGAAGAGATTAAAAAAAGAAGTTAAATTAGTTATTTGTAATAAATATGTGTTGTTTTTTCTAAAATATCATTACTAATTAAGTGTATTGGCTATAACTATTGTTGTTAGGAGAACTATCGTGAAAAAAAAATATAAATATGAGAGACAAAGTGAATTAGAATCTTATATTTATTACGAAAATAAAAATCAAATAAGATTTTATATTAAAGATTGGAGGTACTATGAGAGAGAGAAAGTTGGATCCCTCATCCCTCAAACTATAGAAGCAGTTCTTTATTTTCAAGAGGAAAAAAATAACTTAGCCTACCAAACTTGCCAGACTCAAACCTTACCTTTTCTTAATTCCTTGTATCCAGTCAAGCATGCTTTAATTTCTATCAGAATCCGATAAAATTAAAAAAAAAAAAATCTAACAGACCTTTTGTGGAGACACTTATTGAAATGTTTTTCCCCGAAAAAAAGTAGTGGGAATAATAAATAAATAAATAAATTCCTGATGAGTTGGCCGGATAATGTTTTTTTGTCGTGGAATAGGTTTGAAAAATCACTAGACTATATTGGGAAATAAACATATTTTAAAAAAATCATGGATGGTATATATGCATGAGAGCATATCAAGTAGCAAAAGCGTTTTGGCTGGAAAGAAGAGGGCGAAAGTGACACAATATATTACTGATTAGTAATAAATAAATTGGGATATCTACAAAAAGCATATGGCGGCAGCATCATGGTGCACTTAGTTAATTATTTTATACCAAACCGGAAACGAGAAGGTGACAGTTTTAATTATTTTGTGGACACACATGCATATATAACAAAAGTTTATGATTCAAATAGGAGCCGTTTGGTTCAAATGATACCGACAATGCTATTCCATTAATATTTTAATTTTTGTGTGTATCGCATTTTATTCCCATCAAATTGAGAAAGTATTTAGATTACTCTACTTTCTATTTTATTTATAATGCACATGTGAGTGTGTGAAGCACCAAACCAATTATTTAATTTCATGTTAATCTTTTGGGTGACTTTGTCACTTTATTTGAGTTAATTGCCTGCACAGGAAAGGGTCACATTTCAATTGCTTAGTCCTCGGAGCTGACGGCTGCAAGAAAACGGAGTCAGAAAGTTTCAGAAGTGAATGGAAAAAAAAAAGTGTCTGACAAATCAGTTCAAAAACCGCTTTACAGTTAAAGTAATGTTTTCTTAATTTTTAAGTTTTAGCTTTTTTCTATGTGAACATTTTAAAATTAAAATTTCAATATATCACATAAATTAAACTTGTTTACGTTAAATTGATTTTTTTATAAAAAAACTTATTGAACCTAAATTGCATAACATATTTACATTAATTAATTTTTATCCCAGCTTTACTGTTTAAAAGTCAAATAAAAACCACTTCTATCTATGTTAATCCAAACAAGCTACCTGTTAGGTAAAATGAATCTGTCATTTAAAACAGAAACATAAAATAAACGAAAACACATTGTCCTATTTGTAAATTATGAACGTCTTGGCTTTAAAGAAAACGAGAAAATAGTTTTAGATACAAAATTATCTTAAATTCATTACTACTATCAAAAATTTTTCCTGTTTATTATTATTTCCGGTCGTACTTATAAGATTTTATTTGTAAACTATAAATAATGTTTTATAATTAAAACATGAGATGGCAATAACCTGATGAGATGCGCAGGGCCTAGAACGTGTACCATGCCACCATCCTGAACATTTTTGCATCACGTCTCGTTCGTCTTCTCAAAGGACGATCCGTTGTTCCCATTGAATCAATTTATACAGAAATCTAAAATAATAGTAATTGAATGATTTTATTTATATCCTTGCGGGTTATTTTTACTTGCACCCCAGCTCATCCTTACAACCTTCAATATCCGATCCCTTGTGTATTAGATATTAGTCCTGATCTTGAATAGAATAGTTAATTTGATTTTTATTTTGATTCTAAATATAAAATTCTAATTAACTTTGTTTTTTATATTTATCTATTTTTTTAAAGATAATCTTTTTAATGATGATAGTTATAGCTAATATATTTGATTAGTAAAGATATTTAAAAAAAAAAGACTTATTTATTACAAATAACTAATTTAACTAATTTTTTTAATCTATTCAAATTAGTCAACTATCTCTTATATTAACAGAGGGAGCATGCAATTTCTCTCGTATATTATATACATGTATTTTGCACTTCAACAACGTTAATTTTAAAAATATAAATTTTGCTCATATAATTTGTATGTTACGTTTTTTCTAATAACGTTTCACGTAAAGTTCATTTCGGTCCACGACCTCAATTTGGTTTGGACCTTAGATTTGATCATCCAAAGTTTTTGTTCCAGATGACAGGTCTAAGTGAACCAGGGCCCAAACCCAGTTCCCTAATTTCCTCCCAAACAAGTTGAAAAATGATCAACAACTTGGACATTTCCCCCTTTATTATTTTATTATTCAAATTCCCGTTTTTTGGCCAAAATTCAAATTCCCGTTAAGTGAGATAAATTTTCAAGGAATTTTAAAGTCAGAGGAGGGTTACGCATTGCAAAAATCATCCATAAATTTTCTAATTGAACTCATACTCATTACTCAGTGTAAAATCCTTCAAAGGAAGCATGCATGGGTCAGTGATAACGTATACTTCCTAACTCACAGTCTTGAGAAGCATTAATCCTCCCCACAATGGGTTCACATTAAATAATCGATTTTTTCAAAACAAAATTTGCTTGCCGCATTTTTCATCGAAAGAGTTGAATAGATTTGTAAGATCGATTTATCCTATATTTTATATCCTTTCGAACACTAAAATTTGGAAATTTGGAATGAAAAGCCAGCAACCAAGCAAGAAATTCACAACGTAGTCGGACACTACAGAACAAGAGGGAGCTCAAATCCAGAAAACACAGCACAGAAGCTAAATGTGAAAGGAGGACACAGAAAGAGAAGGTTTCACCGACCACAAACATCTCTATTATTCAAACGATTCTCTGCAGCGTCCATCTGCATTACTTTCGAGTCCGTGTTGATCAAAATTTCATATACGGCATGGGTGTTTCTTTACATTTCCATGTCTCCGGTCTCGGAGCTCATATACAGGTTCGTCGAGCTCAGATGGAACCTTCTTTGAGTCAACAAACCACACAAGAATCCTGGTGACTTCAGACCCTTGTTTCCCGCCAATTCTCGCACTCCGTTCCAATCTTTCAACGCTGTTGAGGCTGAGGACGATGATGAAGTTGATGATTCCGCGTCATCCGATAAATCCATAGAGTCGGCGCAAGAATTCTCGCAAGATTCGCTGGACAGCTCGTCTGCGTGCTTCGATTTCGACTTTTTCTTCTCATCGTAGTGTTTCCCGCGGTGGTGGGCTTTCTCTCCCATGAGGTCCCTGTACCCTATCGCTGAAATTCCATTCAATGCCGGGCAATCCGAGCCTTCTAACACCATCGCACCAATGTTCATGACGCCCTGGAAACTCCCCGAGGGACGGCGTATCTGCAGCGCGCAAAAGGAAGGGGTCCTGATAGAGTCGCCGTCGCTATCACTGGCGGAGCGGAGAATGTTACTGACGAGAAACCGAACGGTGCCGATCAAATGATCGCGGAGAAGACCAACGGAGTAGATGGCCACGGAGACTGCGGAGGTCTCGCTGGCGAGGAACTGGGGCGAGACGCGGAAGAGGAACTTGTCGTTCCAGGTAGGGTTCTCGCCGCCGATTTGATCGACACGGGTTCGGAGTTTTGTGAAAGGGTCTACCCAGGTGACGGCGTAGGTTTGCAACCTTCGCCGAGGTGACGCAGGCGGTTTGAGATCTTGTGCGGAGATCAAGTTGATCTCCAAGACTTGATCCCTCTTCGATAACAGCGACTCCGGCATTGTGCGCTCTTTCTTTTTCTTTCAGAGCGGAGGTTCTATTGCCATATTCCTCCAATTGCCGGCGAAATCAAGAGCTGAGATAATTCAAAGAAGGAGTAAGAAGAATTAACGGTCAGGATTCTCAGAGACAATGAGACGAGAGCGAGAGCGGGAGCGGGGGCAAGAAAGAGGATCCTATTGTACGTAACGGTCTTTTGAGACGAGGGAAAAGCGTGAGATGAACTCGTTTTGGTATACTGGGCCGGGCCGGGCCGGGCCGTTAGCTTAGTCCTAAGCTCAATATTTTTGGTAGTGTTTTTAAAAGTAAATCTCTTGAAGTCTTTTTAGTTATATTTTACCCTGCAGGCCTGAACGAATAATCTGAGGGAAAATAGGCTCAGGCCCACATTTTCCCACCAAACGAAGTAGATACATTCGAACCAATTATAAAATTAAAAACTGAAATTATTTCAATTTTTTCACTCAATATATTTGAAATATAAATAAAATGAAATTATTTTATTGAGTTAATAGAAACATGAATTTGGATAATTCATTTCACATTTTCCCTCATTATAATTAAATATATTTTTGGTTTTAATTATAAACATAAATCATTTTGTAATCATTAAGTTTGATATTTAAGGTGGGGAGCTCATATCTTTAATCCTTGTCATTTTCATCAATTCTCATATTAGTGCTTGTGCATTGAACTTTTTATAGAAACATGAATTTGGATAATTCATTTCACATAATTTTCCCTCATTATAATTAAACATATTTTTGGTTTTAATTATAAACATAAATCATTTTGTAATCATGAATTTGGATATTTAAGGTGGGGAGCTCATATCTTTAATCCTTGTTATTTTCATCAATTCTCATACTAGTGCTTGTGCATTGAACTTTTTAAATTGCATGCGTTCTTTCACTTCAAATCATACTGACTTGGACAAATGGTATTAGAGAAGGAACATGTAGCAGGAGATTTATCAAATGGCATTCTAATCAAATTACAACATGTTACATATACTTTATAAATATAGTGATGTGAATACACACAGAAAATAGTATTAAAATAGAGTCTCAGTAGCTAATCCATACTCATAGTCATACTCTGAGTGAATAATTTTCCTTAATTGGCATATGAGGAAGACCTGAACCTCTGAATGAATAATCTTCGAAGCATTCAAAACGAAAAAAAGCAATTAAATCAAAGCTTGTAGCAAACTCGCGCTGCTTATAAAATATCTATCGAAACTGAAACATAAATTGAAATGCAAGAACAAAGACTTCACATTTTATGCACAAAAGAACATTACATATTTATCAGCACAACGAAACTCACACCCCCTCTTATATGTTATGTTCATCTACAGGGAAGATTTACCTTTAAGATTACACTGTGACCCTAGTAATCCTCTCTTGTATCTGATTATTTGGTGATTTCTTGAAAGATGGCTTGGAAGTTGCGGGCCTGCGATGCATTGTCTTCACTCTCTTCTTCTTGGCCAATTTCTTCTCCAAATCTTTCACCCTTTCTGTCAAATTAGATATTATAGTTAATTGTTCGTTCCCAGCTTCAAGCAACTTTTGCATCATCTTCCTTAACTTCTCATTCTCCTCCAATAAGTTCTTATCAGTATCCATTTCTCCATCTTGCTTGGGAGGGTGCACATCTCTTAAAAGAGGTGATGCCACACGCTGTTCACACGTTTCCTCTGACAAACCTTCTTTGTTCTCAGCATCAACCTTAATTTCCTGCTCAGGTTGAGCCTCCTTGACCGCAACCTTTTCCTCTGGTGTTTCCCTAACACTTACTTCATTTACTTCCAAGCATGCATCTTCCTTGGCTACTCCGTGCCCATCATTTTCTGGGAATGCTGCTGTCACATATTGCTCATCATTTTCCACGCTTGACCCACTTTCAACCTTCGCATTCTCTGGCACATCCCCTTTGAGTCCCTCCTGCTCATACTCAACTTTTACCCAGTCATCTGATTCTCCATTAGATTGATTCTCTTTTTGATCTTCTAGTTTCTGATGCAGCTGAATGACTTGAGCTTCTTTAGACATATCATCTACTAAAGAAGAATGGGTTATTAGAGCTGGATTACATTCCTTTTCTCCACTTTGGAGGACTTGTGTGAAAGTTCTGCTTTCTTCATGCTTGTCAGAATTGGTCATATCATCACCACCACCACCACCAAATAAGCCAACTGGCAGCTCCTCCATTTCATGCATCTTCGAAGATTCTTCATTTTGTGCAAAATTGTCTCCTAAAACATTAATAACTTGCGAAATTTGTGGCTCTTCTTCCCCTTCAATTTCATTTTCCTTGTCCTTCCTAAAATTAATATTATCAACCTCTAAATCATCAATTACTCCTCGAGGCAATTCTTCCCAAGCTTTCATGTCCACCTCATTAACCTCATCGGGAATGCCTTCCAACTCAGATTTGATTTTGGGTTGCACCTCAGAAATATCGCAACCAGATGCCTCATCTTTACTTAATTTGTTGAAAGCCTCATCAACCGTTTCTTGTGGCAATAACTCCGGTTTCTCATTGAATGCTTGCTCAATTGGTGAGCTGAATCTAGACTTGCCATCCTCAAAAGGTAAACCGTGAACGACAGATTGTAACTTCTCATTATCATGGCTAGGATTATCATTCTTAAATGAGAGCTGATCTTGACCCCGCTCTAGCATATCATGACATACATGAACAATGCTGCCGGAAGAATTCCCAGATGCTGCAATTACTCCTGCTTGTTGCTCCATCGAACCATGGCTTTCTTGAATAATGCTGTCAGAAGAATACTTTCCTGACATTGGAACTTTCTCTTGTTGCTCTTGCATGCATTCTCCATTTGAGCCAACTGGGGGAGTCATGAGCTTCCCGATAGATGGGTCCTCTATGCACAGCTGAGATTTTTTGACAACAACAGAATCCAGCTTCTCTTGTAAGGAAGTGAGCTCTCTTGCAAGGGATTTTCTCATCTCCCTAAAACTTGGATGTAGGCCCTGATAGATCATAGAGTTAATAATAGAAATGTGAGAACTAAACTAGAAAGGAAATAATGGAGAAAAAGGAAACATATTAAATTTAACAAACCAAACTACTTATCCCTCTCCAACTAGAATGAGAGTCTAATTTTACTGTTAAAATGTCTTGCCTAATTTAAAATATAAGGGTTTGTATCATGTTAACTAGCAAGCATGCAAAATGAAACAAACGTCTAAAACAAGTTTAGATAGAATCATCATATATACCTGTATAGTATCCAACTTTAACAAGAGTCTCATTATGGTCTCTCCAATCGTGACTTTTTCCCTCTCATCGATTTGTTTGTTGGAAGATGCCTCTAAAGCTTGGATACTGCCCCTAACATCAGCCAAATGCTTACTGATTTCTGCTATCTGCTTTAATTTTTTCAATGGTTCCCATTTCCTCATTTGGAAACCACGATAAGCAGCTTGTATCAAAACAGCAGCTTCTGCATCTGACACAACCTTTCTCTCTTTTACATCCATTACTTCAATTGCTTCCTCTTTAATCATATCATCTGCCTTTCTTTCTGTTTCATTTTCATTAACCTTCTCGCCATTTGTCCAGCTATCTCCCATGCTCGTTAATGCAGAACTGTTTTTATGGACTTCAGTATTAGTGTTGGATGTTACTTGACTCTGAGTACCACCGATACGATCCTCAAGTTTCTTTTCACTTGATTTCTCCAATACTTTAGTGCTTTCCTTGATTGGCTTCCCGTCCTCAGTGGTGTTTGAATCTTTATGGAGTTTCGCATCTGCCTGGATCAAACCATGGCTCTCAGATCTATCCCTCTGCTCGTCATCTTTCTTTTCACGAGACATCTCCACCACCTCAATAGTTCGCTCTTTTGGCTTAGGTTCTGCAGTTACGTTTGACGCCCGTTGACACTCTACATTGGCCAAAGCCTTGTCATACATGCTAGATGAAGTAGATGACTTGGATGTTCCATTTGTAGATGTTACAGAACCTTTCTTTGAGGGACTTGGGGATCTTGAAGTTCCATTACTATTTTTTTTCATTGGGAGTGGGTCAACTCTCAGACAAACCGGAGGCAGTTTCGATGTTTTCTTTGGAGAACCGGATTGTCTTTTCACACTGCTTTCAGTCTCCTTCCCAGTCACATCTCCTTCTACTTGCTTTACAGGAATATCTCTTACTCTCTTTTCATGGCTCTCAGGTTCACTTCTTTGCAGTTCCATTTGCTTGATAGGGATATTCTCTTCACGATCCCCCACCTTCAAATCACTTCCATTCACATTGTTTCTGTCTGAAGCATCACCATTAGGACAAGAAAATATTGGAGCAGAATTGAGCACACAAGGCAAATTTTTAACAGAATTTGGTGAAGTGGTCTGTTGATCTTTCGTCCCTTCACCTTCCTGCACATTGTAGTTAGGAATCCAAATGACAGGAAATGGGATTTCTCTTCTATTTTTTTCACTTTGCTGATTTCGATTTGTTTTTCCACCCTCAGCCGGTGTCATGCTATTATCAATCTGCCAGTTCCTGTTTTTCCTCCCATTGCCATCCTGGATTGTGGTTGCAAGACTATTAATGTCAAATGGGAACCATCCGTTCCACGATTTAGGCTCCTGTCCATCATCCCTAGCATCCTCAGAAGGCTTTTTATCAAGCTGATCACCCACTTCTGTTGCCTCAGGCTTTACAAGCTCTCTATTGTCCATGTACTGGGGTGGCATCCATACAAACGGACATGGATGATTCTTCAACTGAAATGGATACACGACATTATTCACTTTCTTTTCAGCATCAGGTTCATGCTCTTCAATCTTCACGCCATTTCCTTCAATGTGGCTCAAAGGATGGTTAGGACACCCGCAACAATGATACTCTCTGGGCATGCATTTATCATATTCATATCTAGGCACATCCATAGTATAGTGTGGTGGAGGGGCATAAGGAACATAGAAAGGTTCTGGGCATGCAGGATAGCCTCCAGAAAAGGACACTGGCAACGAAGTTGGGACATGAGGATAGGCTGGTGCGTAGGGCCAGTAACCTGGGAATCTATGGTGGCCACCACAACAAAATTGCATCGGAGTAGGGTAACTATGGCCACCAATACAAGGCCAAGCTTTTTCATAAGTTGAGGCGGATTTGGGCGGATCCATGTTCATTTGAGGGGTAATTCCCTCCATAACAGGTTGATAATAACGAGGGAATGCCATATGGTTTCGCTGATAGGGGGGTGAGTCCATCCTATATGCAGGCATTATGTTCTCTCAGGTTTATTCACTTAAGGCTGCTAATCCGTTCAATTGATGAAATAAGTAAAGCACAAACTCTGTATTTGAAAAAGAGAACTACTAAGAACATAAATGACTGGGAAGCAATTTAAAAACACGATTTACGGTAAAGAACGGGACACAGTGACATTCACATGTTAAAGGACTACACAAAATGACATTCACATGTGAACAAGTTCCGAATGGCATAATAAATTATAAAGTCAAAATATGTTTTTTCTTCAATAAAAAACAACAAAATCTTACTATCTCCAGTCCTAATTATAAGAGCTAGTTGACTAATTTAAAGAGATTAAAAAAATAAGTTAAGTTAGTTATTTGCAATAAATAGGTATTGTCTTCTTAAAATATCTTTACTAATCAAAAAATTTGACTAGAACTACTATTATTAAAAGGACTACTTTAGAAACAAATACATAAATATGAGAGAAAAAGTAGATTGAAATCTTATAATTAGGATCAAAATAAAAATCAAATAAGGTCTTATATTAGAAACCAGAAGTAGTATCTTACTAGATGGGCAACATTAATCGATGCTACAGACCAAATCTTTAAATATATTGTTATTTTTTTCCTCTTCAATAACCGGATCACCAAAAGTACAAACAAATTTTAATTAAAGTGTACTTAGAATTGACTTTGGTAGATCACAGTTTAGGATTTTTAACCCAAACTTCAGCATTCTGACCAAAATTCTATCGCAAAATCAAACTAAACACTGATGAGAATAGACGACGGAAATATAAATATTCCAAAAAATTCCTTGATCACAATCATTTCATAAATAATGTCAACCAAATGGCCAATTCTTTACCATTTTAATGGAGGAAGACTAGTTCTGTAAGAAGTCTAGAACCGTTAAGGACTACTATTGCTCTAACTTTTCCCACACGTTCACAACCATAAATAACTCAGCCTTGATTACAGTTGTAGACTGTTGCATTTGATCTCCTCGTTTTAATTTAAAGCATTGTTGTCCAACATATCTGCACATCCCACACACTCACAACCTTGTTTCTTGAAACTAGAAACTAAATGTAACTCGCTTCACACGGCTCTGCCTTTTAATTTAATATCATAAGGAGACAACAACTACTCTGGACGACAGATCATTCCAAAATTTCTGTTGGTTCTTCATCCTAGAACTTCTCAGTATCCAATATAATCACTTAAACATCATAAAAAAATTCAACCTCGTCCAAACTCCAACGGGAGGAAAAAGTTCAAAATACTCCAAATAACACGTAAAAGCAAACATTTTGAATGATAAATGCAAACAATAAATAATAAAAACTCACATACATAAAGTTTCCACCTCTTAACTGTAATCTAACACATGACTGACCCGGTTTCAGTTTTCTACTTGTACCCACCATGTCAAGTTACTCATCAACCAGACATTATAATGGAAAGAGAAAGGTATTACTTACCGTATTTTCCTGGAAATCAAACAACAAAGCAGTTGGGAAAGCACCAGCCACACGGTTCCACACGATCCAAATGACTTAGTTATCGATGCAGAATCTATCCACCAACCAGAAGTCACGAATCAAAATTTGGTAGCGCTGTTTATAGAAACGATCAAAGCTGTTTGTGAAACTTTTGTTTGATAGTAGAAACGGAACAAAAATCCGTCCTTTATATTGGACATTGCGTGAAAACAGATATGACCGTTTGGACGAGAAAAATCTGCTTCCTTCATTTTCCAGACCTTTCCCGCGTCATCTGCTGGTGGAATCGTCTGGATTTTTCGCTTGGATCTTCCTGCCACGTGTATGCGCTCGCTGGCTCTAATCTAATGGGATCAGAAATTGAGTCCTTACAATCATTTTTGGGCCAATTTTGGGGCATGATGGGCCTCCTATTGTTATCCACAAACCATGATGTCCTCCAAAGTCCAAACTCTACGCCTCGACACTCTCCTTTGGGAAATCCCATACCTCACGAAGAAAGGAAGAAATATCATACCTCATCAGAAACTGAGCAGCAATCAGAGGAACAATGGTCCCGGATAGACTGAGAAGGGAAAAAAAAGCAATAAAAGAACTTATTAAATAATGTAATGTATTAAAAAAATTTGTTGTGTGTATTGAGATATTGATGATATGGAACGATTTATTGTTGGGATCTTTTACTATTCATCATGCACAGTATCTGGAATAGAATTGTTTACAATAGAATTTGTGCTTAAAAAAAAAATAAACTGACTTGAATTCAATTCAATTTTTTTGGTTCAGTTAATTTAGTTTTCAGTTTTTGATTCAGTTTTTATTTAAAGGAAATTTCAGTGTTAACAGGAAAACCATAAATAGTTTTTTTTTTTTTTAAATGGGTCTCTTTCTAAGTGGCCAGCCCTTTTATTAGAAAGGGCTAAACTCTGCTACAGTGCTACCCTAGCACAAGTCCAGAATTATCTGCGCTCCGGATCCATTGTACGACCGCCATCTCTTTACCATAGTAATCGTCTTCCTCTGTTCTTCATCACCAATATCCAAGTCCAACTTCAGCGACGCCTTTCACCACTCCCTCCTGCAGAATCGCGCTATTCGCCTAGCAGGTGAGAGAGGAGTTGGAACGATTCGGTCCCTCATTGCTTCGCCGTCGAGCACCGTCTTGAACTCGCGTCGTCTGTTGCCGCCATTGCTTTACCAGTTCGTGTCTTTCTTTCTCCCATCGCTTTTCCAAAAGGCATCGTATCAGGATTCAAACAAAGCAAGGAGTTTGCAAGGCTTGAAGCAATCTTCTCTCGTAAATCTCACCACTGTGCTTGTGTAACCAAAGAGATGGGTAGAGCGAAAAAAGGCCCCAAGTTTGCGGTCATGAAGAAGCTCGTCACCGCCAAAGCAATCAAAAAGTGAGATACATATTTTTCCCTCTGCATGCTTCTTGGAGTTTCGTAGTTGTTTAGTATTTATGATCTTCTTCTGGGTATGAATTTTATGTTGTGCTGAATTCAGCTATAAGGAAGAGGTGTTGAACCCTAAGAAGAAGGACCTTAGCAAGGAAAAGCTGCCCAGAAACGTGTAAGCAATCATGCTGACTGATCTTTGAATGTTAAACTTTATAATTACGAGACCTTGTATTTTTGTGACATTTGTTTTGATTTTTATTATGAAGCCCTTATTATCCTTCGTCGCTGTTTTTTGCGCACAACACTGAATTGGGACCCCCTTATCGTGTTTTGGTTGACACCAACTTTATCAATTTCTCCATTCAGAACAAAGTGAGTACGCCTTTTTTCTTTTTTAATCTTTTATCTTGGCTTTCATTCTATGTAGTTCTGCTTATATTAACTTTATACGCGTGGATCTAAGGGAATGGTGTGGTGTCTTACTTAAACTTTTCTTTGCTGCAGTTGGACTTAGAGAAGGGAATGATGGACTGTTTATATGCAAAATGTAAGTTTTAAGCAGGCTGCTATCTGTACTCTGTTAATTTATTCATTTGGTGAATTTTATGTGTGGCAGTAGAGTCATGGGTTCTAATCCGTTTACTAGCGATTAAGTTGCTTTTATAGCCCTTTTAGGGGGTAAAAGATGCTATTGGTTGATTGATTTCTGAATAAAATTTTTTTCTTGTTTTCAATTCATACATTCAAACTTTGTGTATTTTGGCATCCAGGTACTCCTTGTATCACAGATTGTGTGATGGCAGAGCTCGAGAAATTAGGCCAGAAATATCGTGTGGCTCTCAGGTAAACATTAATATAAATTATTTGATATTTGATTGTCGTATATTCTCATGTTTTAGCTGCAATTGTAAGATCAAAATTATTACTGGCATCCCTAGCATGTCCTGGTTTGTTGCATGTTTAGAGTTTGCTATTTTGAGTTATTTACTTGTGCTTTGGTTTAATTCCACTTTGCCCTTTGCAATGTTGAAGCGTCAATTTGCTCACATAAGGTTTATATCTTTAATTTCCTGTCTATTTCATAATGATAAATGCATGAATTGAACGTGACCGTGTTCCTAATTCCTTGAAAAAAGTTGCACTAATGGTTGCTGATAGACACTTGCAGCTTCGGGTAATAAGGGACTAAGCCACAATGAACCAAAGAACATTTTTGAAACCATGAAATGATAGTAGCTTATTAATCCAGTGAATTTCTCTAATTATTTCTTCCTTATCATAGTTTTTTGCCACCCTTCTTTTTCATTGTGTATTATTAATCATTTTTATCATACAGGCAATCACACAGCTGAGTAGTGGAAAAAACTAATCCTTGTTCTAGTTCACTTTCTGAGTAGCTGATTTATCAAATATTGTTCTATCTATGTGGCAGGATTGCAAAGGATCCTCGATTTGATAGGTTACCCTGTACTCACAAGGGGACCTATGCAGATGATTGCATTGTTGAGAGAGTTACTGAGGTGTGATTTATTTTGTAATTTCTATTCGGAAATATGACTTTATTTGTTAATTTCAAGCGTGTGAAACATATATTATACAGAGATTGGTAGCCTTTAATTGAGAGATCACTGGAAATTTAGGATTTCTTACCGTCTTTTTTTCCTCTTTGGCTTGGGCATTAGAGGAGGGGGTAAGGGTTTGAGTCTCTTAGCGGTGCGCTTATCCGGAAGGGGATTTCTCCTCCGCCCTTCCCCTGCTCTACCCTCCCTTTTCCTTTAAAGATCCAATGGATCATATTTAAAAGTCTAATAAAAATAAATATTATTATAATTTTATTTTAAATGCATAAATAAATTTAAACTGAAAACTGTAAACAGTTCACATTTTTTCAATTTTTTTGATACAGTTGTGAATCTTTCAGATACAGTTTTAATAGTTTAAATTTATTTAATGCATTTTGAAATAAAATTGTGATAATATTTATTTTTATAATATGTTAAATATGAACCATTGGATCAAAAGATCCAGTGATTGTGATGTAAGGTGACGGTAGAGGAGGGGTAGAGAATTGGAAAAGTAGAGGAGAGAATCCTCTTCCGTGCTTATCTACCCAAAATCTTTCTAAGAAAGTGGTAGATGGTAGATTCCATGGGTAAATATTGTCTGGGTGGCAATTGTTTTCCTGGTATCATCTGACGTTTCAGAAATCTTAATTGCCTATGCTGTATTTTATTAGTTAACTGGTATCCTTCTCTATCTTTCATTGAAGTGTGAGTCGGGGCATGTGTATCTGCTGCTTGTTTAATCATTGTTCTTTTTATCCTATTCACCACAAAGCATTTTGTTGGTTGCAGTTTAGGTGCTTCATTGTTGCAACATGTGATCGAGACCTGAAGCGAAGGATCCGCAAGGTAAAGTGAAGAATTGTTATTCTACCTTCCATTGTTGAAATTGGACCCTAGTGTGTGAACTTGGTTTTGTTGCAGATTCCTGGTGTACCTATCATGTATATCACTAAACACAAGTATTCAATTGAGCGGTTGCCTGAGGCAACAATTGGGGGAGGTAAATATGTATTTAAAAGCTTTACTTACAAACCTAATAATAATTATGAGTATCTAGTAGATATTTCGCATCTGATTTGCCATGTGAAAATGACTGCCTTTCTTTAGTGCAAAGGGCAAACCAAACGGGGTCTAGGTTTTTGGAATATGATACAATCCGAGTCCTCCTAAACTCATGGGGTCCTCTTAAATGAAATAAAATACGACTTTGGTAGTTGATGAACAAGTTCCTGATTTTCTAGTGAACAGTGTCCAGAAAATGATCATTAATCCACCGGGCAATTTAAGACTTTTTCCTTCACTTTTTTAAAGGCATTTTTACTATAGTTACCTCTACTGAGCTGATTTCGCATTTGTGGCCTTCAATGCAGCTCCAAGAATCTGATTATTTGGGTTGCATAGCAAGTGATAGAAGTGAATCTCCATTGATGGGAGCTTGATCGAAGTTAATCTCGTTTTTCGCCTAATATATGTTTTGTTACTTCTAGTTTTGTGGCCATATTTTTCTTTCGGTTCAGGTTGGATTGGGGCTCGTGATGGGGTGGGGGCGGGGGAATATGAGCAGAGACTTGGGGTTCAATCTGTTTTCCGTTGTAACGGGGGAAAAAAAATCACAAGCGCGCGCGCGCACACATATATAGATGTTTTACGTCACTTAATATCGTGCTCTACTATTCTTTAACGTATCATTCTTTTACGTATATTTTTCGGTTGAAAATGATGATACTGAAGATTTCATATTTCGGTATGGAAAATTTAGAGCATGTTAGTGCCTAGAAATACCTTGCTGATTTGATACTCTTCCGATTCTTAATATCAAACTTATTTAACTAATTTGATTAGATTAAGGGTGTTAGGTAAGTTAGTTAATTAAATAAAATATTATAATTATTTTTTTTAATATCTTTTTTTTTGTCTTATTTGATTATGATTAAGAGAATATTAATAGAAGTAATTTAGAAAAAATTGATAAATGTGATGAATTTATACCTGACATTGAGTAGTAGTTAATAGTTAGTTGACGGGGTTTTGAGAGATTTTTTTTTAAATGTTTAATATATATTTTATTGATTATCATGTATCAAGATGGACAAATAACCAGCCAAACCAAGAGAAAAGTGTAAACAAAATAATGTCTTCGACACCGATTATTTTCTTTTATTTTGGTTGAAAGCAATGTCATACCAATTCATTTGTGTTCGCTGCATCAAAACAATTAAAAGTAGTACGAAAATGTTTTCCCAACAAATTTAAATATTATGCTCTAAAACTATAGTTACCCTTTATAAATGTGCTGGACGCAATGCTAGATGATAAAATATTACCTTCAGTCATTACTATAAGAGTTAACTGATTGATTTGACCAAATTAAAAAAGTCAGTTAAGTTTGTTATTTATAATAAATAAGTGTTGTCTTACTTAAAATATCATTGTAAATCAGGTGTTATTTTTTTTGATAATAATTAATCAAGTGTTATTTGATTAAATATTTAACATATGTAATTACTACAAAGGTGTCTTTAAAAAAATAAATAAATATAAGAGATAAAGTATATTAGAGTTTTATATTTAAGATCAAATTAAAAGTCAAACTAATTCTTATATTAAAAAATAAAGGTAGTATTTTAGAGGATCTCACTCTCAATTAAATATACATATTTTTCAAATGATTAGTTTTTAATTTATATAAATTAATAAAAAAAATTGGTTTTCAATTGGCATTTTAAAATTTCATTCTTCGTTGTTGTTCTTTTTCTTCTACTTTTTTTCCTTATTATCCTTTCAAGAAAAAATCATTTTAAAGATACCTGTACTTTTTATTAATTTTTATTTTAATATGTATATATATATGTGTGTGTTTTTTTAATTAAATCTTTCCTTATATTACAATTTTTTGTAATATAAAAATAAAAAAAAGAATATTGATATATTTTTTTTGAGCTGAAAAAGAATATTGATATTTAAACCGTTATATACAAGAAACGGAAAAACAGAAACAGCGCGAGAGACGAGAGCTGGAGCGCGCGCCACAGCCCGGAAGAGAAAAATGAGCGCGACAAACGCTTGTCACTCAATTGCGCTTTTGCGTTTGCAGACGCAGGCTTCAGCTTCATCCCAGGCTGTGCTCCACAGAACTGTCACCTTCTTCACCCCAAGAAGGAAGATTCACACAAACAAGCCTCCCACTCCCGCTTGTGTCTTCAACAGTGGTCGCAAGGTCATCGCCAACTCCAATTCTGCCTCATCCACTACCCCTACTTCCGTAGTATCATCCGATGCTGCTGAGACCGTGTTGGATTTGGGAGTTCTAAAGAAAAACTGCCGCAAGTGGCAGTGGAAGGGTCAGTATGCCATCAATTACTTTGTTTCTTCTGATTTAGATTTACCTCAGTCGTCGCAGTCCGGTCCTCCTCTGCTCCTCGTTCATGGCTTCGGTGCATCGATTCCTCATTGGCGCAGGTAATTGGGTGAATGCCCTGGTTTATCTATTGTTGTTGTTAATATTGCTTCCCATCCACCCATTTCTTTTGCAAGTTATTATCCATGTTTATCACTTTCTTGTGGTGTGTTAATAGCCACAATAAATAAACTAAATATTCGCACATGGGAAGACTATGGATTAACCATAACAGTTCCACTTCTGCTGCAAATCATACTTAGTAGGATCATTTTTCATCAAATTGAAATTAAATATCACCATTTGTGATGCTTTTCTAATTTAAAAACATTTAATTTAATTATACTAGGAAATATTTCCTGACTAGAATTGCCGATCACCGTCTTATAGCAAGGTTCTAATATCATTCGAGTGATCTGATTCCTGACTAGAATTACCGATCATCCGCTTGCAGCAACATTAATTATCCCGGCATTTGACAGCCAAAAGTGGATTAGTCCAAAATGTATGCTTTTACGTACTTCTAGGCTCTTAGACTCGTTATATCCTAGTCAGGACTAATGGACTAGCATAATTCCTTTGATAGATGACACAATTTGTTCTGTCATTGGCTTTCCTCTGTTTGAGCATTCAGTACATGAATCGCTAAATATTTCAGATGTGAAACAGGACAAGATAGAGGAAGGCTCGTCAGTTTATATATATCCTACTCAAGAGTAGCCTTTTCAGTCTTGTTCACGTATATTTTTCCAACATGTTTGGCACTCTTTCAGGAATATTAAGACATTAGCTCACAATTATACTGTTTATGCCGTTGATCTTCTTGGTTTTGGGGCATCCGATAAGCCTGCGGGCTTCTCGTATACCATGGAAACATGGGCTGAGGTATCTCTTTGTTGAGTTTTAGTTGGACATTAACTCTTCCACAGTGTAAATATGTCATGCTGATTCAGTTTTCACTATAAACAGTTGATCCTGGATTTCTTGGATGAAGTTATTCAGAAGCCAACTGTATTAATTGGGAATTCTGTTGGTAGTCTTGCTTGCGTTATTGCTGCCTCAGGTATGTTTGGCACAGATCTCAAGCCGAATCATTATTTCTGTGTCAATGGATCAGTCCGGTAGAATTTGCATCAAAAACATATTGCATGCCTTACTTCTGCATCATAGTCCCCAACCAGATTCAAGTCAGACTCTTGTTCGAGGACTCGTTCTGTTAAATTGTGCTGGTGGTATGAACAACAAGGCCATAGTTGATGACTGGAGAATCAAGCTGTTATTACCTTTGCTTTGGCTGATTGACTTTTTATTGAAGCAAAAGGGAATTGCCTCAGCAATTTTCGAGCGTGTTAAACAGAGGTATTCTCTCTAAAATGGGCTGTATTACTTTCAAAATTTTAGAATAGTCATTCTAAAAATAATGCATGCTTGGGTGCAGAGAAAACTTGAGGGACATATTATTGTCTGTGTATGGAAACAAGGAGTCTGTAGATGAAGAACTAGTGGAGGTAATACTACACTGTGTTGACCCTTTGCCATTCAATCAAACTTAGTTGCAAAATATGATCTGTTTCGCATTTTATAGTTATAAAAAATTGAACGAAGCACCTGATTGTTTACATATAAATAGCTTGGCATTATGACTGTGTATATGCAGATTATTAGAGAACCGGCAAATGATGTGGGGGCTTTGGATGCCTTTGTTTCCATAGTAACGGGGCCACCAGGGCCTAATCCAGTGCAGCTGATGCCAAGAATCTCCCTGCCCGTTTTAGTTTTGTGGGGAGATCAAGACCCATTCACTCCAATTGATGGTCCTGTTGGCAAATACTTCTCTTCATTGCCTTCTCGTCAAGCCAACGTTAAACTCTTTATGCTGGAAGGGGTTGGACATTGCCCTCATGATGACAGGCCTGTCTCCGTCCATGAAAAGCTCCTTCCCTGGCTAGCCTCTCTTCCAACTTCATAGCGGAGTTTGCTTTGAGCCAAATGCTTGGAGCCTTGAGTCCTTTCTAGAGTGACATTTCAAAAGCATGTATTATTCTTCCTCATTAATGGAGGGGATCCAATCTGCAAATGCTTTAACCGGATGTCCACATGTTAGAAATAAGAAACGTTCTTCGATATCGCCAACAAAAATAGCTGAATTAGCCATGCACCTGGCATCTCTGTATTGATCATGTTGGTTCTTCATCTATGCCGTCTTTGGAAGATTGGCAGCATTGTATAGTACAGCATAATTTTATAAAATATGGGACTATCATGTTTTGATCGGTCGATAAGAGTTTTCAGCTTTTACTATTGAATTCTGCTGCCTTCTGTGATACAAAACCTACCCTACGATGTTTTGGTTCTACTTTTCCCCCTGATTTTTTTTTGTGCATAATCTAAAATTTATAATTGTGCCAGTGACTCTTAAATTCGTAATTCCATGAAGAAAAAAGACTAATTGTTATTTATTTATATTTGTTTTTAGTTACTAAGATTCGTAATAAAAAAAAAAAACCGACTGGTATCTACATATTTAATAATATCATTCTATAATTTGTATAGATAAATGTTCCTTTTAAAAAATTTGTAATTTTATTGAATTGTGCTATTACACTGAGAAAATAGGGAAAATCTAAAAAACAAATGATTATTGAATTTTAAAATTTCCAATTAGCATTGGTTATCACACTCTGTAAAAAAAAAAAAAGATTACACTCGAAAAATAAATGACAACACATTTTTGTCATTATTCTTAATTTGAAATTTTGAGATTCAATAGTCATTTTTTTAGGATTTTTCTGAGAAAATATCTTATTTGTTTTCCTTTCAAGTTTTCAACTAATCAATCAATCTATTGCTGGCAAAAATAAAAATCAATCTAGCCGCTGAAAGGGGAAAAATATGAATCCAATCCTTCACACGTTTTTTTTTCCCCCGCCTTGACTATACTTGAGGTTCAAATATTTCAGCAAAAGGAGGTTTTTTTTTTTTTGCGCAACAAAAGAGTGTAATTTTTCACGAGGGGAAAAAAAAAAAAAACATTTTGACCCGCAGGCATAGCAGCCAAAGAATACATTCTGATCCAAACCCAGAAGCAAACAGAAACCACCACGGACGAGACATAAGAGGGCGGAGGCGCGAAGGATTCGCTTACGTCACTGGCAGCGATGGCATGTCAAAACCTCTGTAAATCAAGTATGGCTATAAGACTTGGCAGGGCTAGCGATTCTCTTTCCCGGATTTGCACTTCTCACCGTCATCCTCTTCATCCTCGTCATGCTTCACCGTCCTTCTCCTCTCATCTTCTTTCTTCCTTATCCTCTTCATCTTCTTGCCTCCTCAAAGCCTACGCTGTATCCTCTACATTTCCTTTAACAGGTACAAGGAGGACTTTCCTCTGGTTCCTGCAGCAACATCCACACCAGCACCGTAGCTTGCTCTGGTGCTCGAATTACAGTAATGCTACAAATGCCTCTGTCGATACTGTTGCTGAGGGCTTGGGCAAAAGGTACTTGGAATTGACGGACGAAGAACTCTTGCGGCAGTGCGACATGGATACCTTCAAGTCTTCTGGTCCAGGTGGTCAGCACCGGAACAAGCGCGAGTCTGCGGTTCGCCTCAAGCACATTCCCACTGGTATTATTGCTCAGGTTATTTCCTATCTATCACCTTTACGATTTCGTTTTGGAACTCATTCACAAGGTGCGCCTCTTGCATTTCATTTTAGGCTGCTGAGGATCGATCACAGCACAAGAATCGTGCATCCGCCTTAACTCGCCTCCGTGCTCTGATAGCTCTTAAAGGTATTATTGCCTTGCCTTACCAATTTGGCTGTGCTTAATTTACAGTCCTGAAAATCTTGGCTGTAACTTATTGTTTTCGTATGTAATAACTGAAGTTAAATGAATTTTATTTACTCATAGGTTTTCTCATATTTGTGACTAACTTGACCAAAATATGTTTATTTTATACTGATAATTAACAATGATTTTGCTGATTGATATAAATTCATCTCTTGAGCTAGTCAGGAGCACTGTGGATCTCGATGCTTATTTACCGCCTCAAGAGCTTCTGCAAATACTTCCTGCTAAGTCATCCATTAGAGGATCGGATTGTGGTCCTCGAATTGGACCAAACAACCCTAAATTTGTTTTGGTATGTCTCTTTGTGCAAGGCGCATAGCATGTCTTTCTATGTGTTAGTTGCTACTCATTTCTTCTTTTTTCTTCTTATAATAATCAGTATACAGAATTTGCAACTTAGTCACATAATGGGAATTAGAGACAATCATGTCATAGTTGATGTCCTTTTCCACAGGGAATGCAAGCTCTATTGGATCTCATTTTTGCAGTCGGGGGCTCTATCTCCGAAGCTGCAAAATTTCTCGGGTACATTTTATGTTTAAGGTTTTTTTTTTTTAAAAAAAAAAAACTTTTCCCCTATAGATTATGACTAAGAAATTGGATATAAGATAAATCAATATTAATTGAGGTTTAATGAAGAAAATATGTAACGTAGTTTAATGCTTATTTAAATACAAGCGTTTGATGTCCGGCAGAGGGGGAAAAAAAGTACAAGCGTTTGATGACTGCTTCTTTAGGATGTCCTCGTACAATGAAGATTTAGTTTAGACATGAGGGTGATATGTATCGAGGCTGACTTCCCTCTTAGACTTATTTGAACGTTTTCATGTTTGATATGGCATGATATAATAAAAAGGCTGACTTTCCTGTTAGACTTATCTGAACGTTTTCATGTTTATTATGGTATTTAATTTAAATATTGCAGATTAAGCACAGGAGCACTGTCCCGGTTGATCCTCTCGGATGATTCTCTTAGAATGGCAGTAAATGAGCTGAGGGCATCAAGGGTAAATTTAGTGATGGCTTATCTTCAGAATATGGCAGTAATTATCTAATTTATTTACAATCTGATTTGTACAATAGCGGGATGTTACTTTTTTGAACCCAAAAAAATAAAAAAAAATTTGACCTCTTCATTTTGGGTATAAAGTCAGTGAGCAAAAATGTGAGCCATAGTGAAGGCATTAGTCTGAATGTCTTGGAACCGTAAAAAGAAGAAATACTATCTGGGAGAGAGAAGATACAAGTAAAGAGAATACTTCAAGTATTGAAACCGTAGCTCTAAATATTGCCTGCGAGAGGGAACATACAAATCAAGAGAATACTAAGCACAAGAGAGATTATACTTTTGAATTTTGGACATTTGTCTGTCATTCAATCTTGGAACCGTGAGTAACTCCAAATTGGCCGTTTTCTGTCATTGAAAGGAATGGTCACTTCAACATCTATTGACACCTATGCTGTATGTTTCTAATTAAGAAACGTACCTTTCAGACATTGCATCCAGATGATCTTGTAAAAACCTTTATTTGAATTACTCAAAAAGTAATCTTTCCTTTAGTCGATCCAAATGACCTTCTTCTTAACTTCTCACCATGGGACCACCGCATAGCTGCTTAATGAGTTCTTATATATGCTATGCACTAGCTTTTTGTTTTTCTACGAACGGTCTTCACTTCTAAAGAGATTTACCCTTTTGACAACTAGTAACAGTGAATCTTTTTCCTGGATCATTAACAGGGTATGAAGCCTCTTAAGTAGGAGTTCTCAAATTGTTATTATAGACGCAGGTACAGTTTACTCTCAATTCTTTACAGTTAACATCTTTGATTTAATTATGGGAAAAACAAAACAAGATAGTGCGGGTTCTATGGAAGTTGGATGCAAAATGGAAAATTAAATCTTCATCCACAATTCAATTTGTAGACATCAAGTTATTTTGAAATTTTTTTATGTTTGTATGTTGTTTCTATTAACTTTTAGAACTTGTGGTTTAATCATAAAAAAAATTCAGCTTGTGTTAGGGTGATTGGCTTTATTTTTTTTCGCAGTTCATTTTATCTGCATTATTCTTTCCATCACATAAATAGTTAATGGTTCTATTTGATTTCAAATTTTGAACTTGAGGTCCCCTCCTTTTTATGTATCATTGAATATGTTAGTCGTTTGACACCAAGTTAAAGCCATTTTTTGGCCAACCAGCAGATATCTGAGTGTATTCTCAGTTAATATATTTTAAACTCCTGTCTTCAATAGTTACCAGGTTGTCGGGTGGTACAAGGAGATCAATGGGAGGAAACCAAAAAGTTGAGAACCTGATGGCCGGCTAATTGTTGACTGATACAGAATCAGTGCCATGATAATTCAAATGGTCTCAACAATTGCATGTTCTGCATAATTTGAGATGGCTGTCATTATCCTCCAAACAAGCCTTGAAAAACTCGAACTGGAAGGCTTTGAGCACCAAATTAGGTGCCTTTTCCTTGCTTAGAAATTCTTGCCCGGCTTCCTCCGTCAGTCCCAGTTAACCTGGGTGAAGTTCATATTGATGTATACCCAGAAAAAAATGGAATTCATATGGATAAATATTACAGTTCTTATCCCTCAAACAAAGCACAGCCAGTTTTATTCTCGTAAGTATGATTGACGAATAATGCAGATTCCGCCGTATATGAAGCTCAATGTTGCGAAGGTCTAGTTTAATCATATGGCATTGTTTATGATTAGCGGAGCCATCAAGGCTGTTATTACATTCTCAAAATAATGGAGCGAGGGGAGAAAAATGGACCACCATTTTCCACCGGATATAGCGGTCACTAAGAGTAAACCCAACAGAAATCAACTTCTCTTTTACTTCCTCCATTGGAATGGATGTAGTATTTGTAGTTTTGGCAACTTAACAGGGCTATTTAGATATGTTAATTTTTCGGATGATTAGATATGTTAATTTGACCCAAAAAAAAAAGAGTTGAGTGGGAGTCAGAGGACTAAACGCGATTCTCTCTAGTTTTTCTGTCGTCTTAATTTTAAACAACGCTAAAATACAACAAAAGCATTGGTGTAATGTGACAATGAAGCGTGTTGACCCTAGTCCTCTCTATTTATATAAACTATGAAGATCAGGTGTGCTTTGAAGTTTACCGAGTAAGGTTAACACTTAACAGGAAGGATTAGATGCCAAAAAGACGTAGACTTCAACAATCGGGCGTTGAATATAACACATAACCACGAGTTAGGTTCATTAACACCCAAAAGCCCTTCCAGAAATTACAAATTTCCCTTGACCCTCTTTCTCTTAGAAATCATCCTCCAAGAATGAAACTACGCAAGCGACCAGAAAACTAAAGGAAAGAACAGTAGGCTACTTTACACATTAGCTATTTATCAGCATCAATGACCAGAAGGATGCAGTTTTTCCCAATACAAAACCCATCAAGACCGATTACATCTGCATCTTTTTCTTCCCTGTTAGGGCTATCTAATGAAAATCACAATTATGTGGGAGCAGAAAAATGGAACAAAAGTTACAAAAGAAGAAAAGAATCATCAACCAAGAAAACATCAAAGTATATATCATGCTTCTTTCAGCAAGTTTGAACCATCCTCCTCCTCTGGCGGGGGCTTCACATACTTGCCTATCACTTTCTGACGCTGTCGCTTCCTCATTCGGTTCAGTTTCTCGATACTCTTCTGTTTCCTTTTCTCCTTCTCCTTGTGCCGTAGATTCCTCTCTCTCTCATATACACCGTGCCAGAAAACTTCTCCTGTTGATGGCCACAGCCAATGGCCACTGGTGGCCTTAGAATCTGATAACTCTGCCAAGTCCTCATCCATGCTCTTCAGCGTGGTGTATGAGAACCATTTGATCCACATATGCCCTTTACGGTTCTTGAAGTTGTGTTGTTCCTGCATTAGACCAGTCTCAGGATTCACATACACCATCCTCCTGGCACTGTGGTAAGCCCATACATTTACAAGCAGCTCCAGAAGCCGCGAATAGCAATGCTTATCCTGCATATGCAAATTTATCCACATATTAAGAGGGGAAGCAAAATAAGCAGCAAGCTTGATAATGTAATCGATATTTCATTCAATACTTAAAATCTCCTTTAAGAGTTTGTAAATGGACTAGATCACTGTAATTCTAGAAGTATCCGGTGTGATCCTTCACATTATGTTTTGTAAAATGTATTTATTAATTTTTAATTATATTTTTTATTTCAGATCTTTATTCACTTTTAATTTTTTAAAAATAAAAATTTTTAACATCGTTTGTTCATTGGAAATCAATTTTCAATTTTTTTTTAATATTTGTGTTCTTATATTTTATCATTCTTATTCAAATTAATTAGTATATTATTAGAAATATAATACTCATTGTGACCGGTTCGGCTATGGCCCAACTACTAAACATGACAAGCCATCATTTCAAAGGCTGCCCCCATTTTTAATTATTAAAAGCACACCATGCAAAAAATACCAATATATAAAAGGAGTAATTTACTTTTGACAAACTCAAATAACAGCGTCCACTTGAATGGTGCTCGCCATACATCTGTACATCCAATGCATCAACAAACATTCTGCACAAAAGATAGTTTCCATCAGTATTTCAAAATCTAAAGAAGCCAGGGGCAAAAGAACTGTTAAAGAAGATCAAGTAGCTTATTGATTAATCTGGGGCATCCACTGGTGCAATCCTAAATACCTTGAGAACATTACGAACTCAAGGAAGGATCTCGTAGGCAAGGCCCAACTCTGCATGACAGACCAAGTGTCGCCACCTACTGGCATTGGTGGTAAAGTATCCATATCATCTTTTATCCCATACATTGTCTTCAAAGCCTCAGAGAAAGCAAACCTTTATACGAACATTAAGTGGAAAAAATAAGATATACCTTTAATGATCTCTGTGTGTGCACGCGCACGTGAGAGAGAGAGAATAAGGTAAGGGCATAAACTACCGCAGCCAAGGAAAAACATGCAAAGCCTTTACAGGGTCTTACTTGCAATTTCCTGCATTGATGGCATCGCAAAATGACCAAAAGTCGTTCTGCAAAGGTGTTCGGGGATCCTTATCCATGCGAACCCAAAAGTACAGTGCATCCCCATACCTTTTGGATTGTATAGCATCTAATAGTGCATTTTCAGCAGTTGTGGACAAAGATGCCTGCCAAAGACCCATCTGGATGTCAAACAACCCAGAAAAGAGGCACATGTGAAATATAAATTTCCCTTTGTTTATGTTACTGTATTTAACACGCATGCAGAGTTTATGACAAGATGAAATGACATGAGAATAAAACCTTCACAACAAATGTTCGGCACAAGCTTTACACTTCATTTTTTTCATTCATTTTCTATAGCTGGAAATTTTAAAATACTTTATCTAACAAGGTGACAATTGCTTGTTTTCAGATACCTTACAAGTATACACAATAATATCAGTATAGTTACCTAAAGTTAAATATAGAACCAGCATCAGAACCTTCAAAATTAAGATGAAATTACAACGTGGACCAAGAGGGAGAAATTAATCATTAAAATTTCAATGATTTCAGCAAAAGGGAAAGGGCGTCAATGAGTAGCCCAAAGAAATTACATACCTTCCTTGCAGATGCTCTCCAAGACTGAAACCCAATCCAAGCATTCTTGTGTATACGGTCTACCCTTTTTGCAATAGCAAAAAAGGCTCCATAATCACCAAGTATGTCTCGATAGTAAGGATTATTAAGGAGTGGAAGACGAGACGGTGCGTCGACATCGTCTCTACCCGGTCTTCGACCTTTAGTGGACTGCAAAGAGTCAGTATATACCATGCATTACGCTAATAAGTAGCTACTCATTGAATTCTGAAGAGAAAACAACTATTACAGAATAGTTGAGGCATAGTCAACCGAGGCACAATCCAAATTGTAGCAAGAAGTGGAGAATGAGTGCCATGAGGAACAAGAAACTAAAACGTCTACCACACAAAAACTAGCCAATTACAGAAGTTAATCAACGCATTTATCTGGACCAGGTATCACAATGGACCAGTTAAATAAAAAGGAAATTTACTTCAGTAATACTATCATTGACATTTAATATAGCGTGGTTATCGAAGAACATTTCTTGTACAAAAGAAGCAAACGTTGCTTGTTAGACTGATGTAACAACTTAGTAAGCTGATAAAATGACAATATATGCACAACTTACCAGCCCAATTCCACGGTAAAGAGATCTATCATGCAGAAAAGGCCAGGTTCCTTCCCCAAAGTAAGGTTCATAAATAGTAAGTGGTTGACCTGTCCGCTCAAGTTCTCCTTCATCTCTTTCATGTAAATCATGCTTTGAACGATCAGCTCTTTTAGCATTTCGGTATACTTCCTCCCATGTTCCTCGTGACTGCTCTATTCTATCCTTTAGCTGCATTAAATTTCAAAGAACATCACTTGAAGTTTTGCTTTGCTACCCTCCTGAAGAGGAATTGATAAAGATTTACCTGTTCTTCCTCTCTTCTTTTTCTTGTAATAGCCATCTGAATATTCTTTTCTTCCTCCCAAATTCTATATAAAAATGAATCATTATCAGCAACCATAACACTAGATCTGCTTTTCGGAGGATGGTTCCACTGCTCCTCGTATTTATCTAAATATGTGTTACTCCTTGATGTGCTATTTTGATATGTAAAATTTGAGACTGCTTCAAATAAGTGCCACTGCCACAGCTCTTTAAGATGGGGAGAGATTTCTGATACTGCCTTCGGAAGAGCAACTTCAGATGGAAGCACCAGAATACTCTGAAGCAGATTGGCATATCCATCAATTGTTTCTGAAACCAAAAGGTTCTTCGAAGAAGTTTTCCCTATTGAAGCAATATCACGAGCTACTGGTGATAGTTTCCCCTTCGAGATCACTTCCAACATAATTTGTGTCAAAACCCTACTATTCTCCTTGGGAAAAATATAACCATTCACCCTGTCATCAACCTAGATGTCGGCACTGTAGTTAGTACTTAGCTAAGAAATATGCAACATAAAATACAGGTATTCAAAACATGCAACTATAAATTATTTATTTAATGAAATTTCAGATGCTTGAAAGTTATTATCGATGTCGGTAACATAAAAGCCAAGTTGATTCAGGGTAATACTAGGAGGGTCTGAATGATTGATGCAAAGAATGACAGAAATGTCAATTTAAATAGACTATAGAATAGACATACATATTTCCTGATCGTGGGAATATCCGGAGCAATAATTGGTTTCCCAAAGCACATTGCTTTAACCAAAATCTGTGGAAAAGATTGCTCCTCAAGGAAGGATCCATATATCACGATATCAGCCATGTCAAGAACAGAGTCTGCATTCAAATCTCCAGATATGTGCTTTATGGTGCCGCTTGGATATTTCAAGGTGTGAGCCATGGTCTGTTGAAACAGAATAAGAAAGAAAACCTTAGAAGTATCTACCCACAAGAATAAGGATTAAAGAAGATAACATACATACCTCAAGAGCCAAGCTGTAGTTATTTGATGATTCCCCAGTATGAACAATGATACGTAGATGTGAGCTAGAATTATCTCTGTTTGATAGGAAGTCTGCCAGAAGTGGTGATAGAGCCTGTAAAACAATAGCATGCCCCAACCACGAACCTTTGTGAGAAAAGTGGCTTCCTACAACTGCAATA